GCAATTGCTAGAGAGCATTAGGACTCACCAATCCTTTTGTTATGAAACTGGATTCCCAATTCTATGTCTTAGCCCATTAAAATCAATTTTTTAGACGCTTTTAAACATTAACAAGTGGCTCCTTAGCTTAGCAATTATTTTTTTCACATAGTGCTTCAATGCCCATCTTGATCATCTCTTCTTACATCTCAACCCAGACTTCTCAGTAAGTGAAAAGTCCCTTCTACTTCTCCTCTCTTAACTCCCAGATAAAGAAAAACAAAAACAAAAAGCAACTTCTTTATATGGAACCTTGCAGGATAAGTCTCATTGAAGTTGCAGGCTTTCTCCTTTATCAACCACTGGAGTGGTTCCTTATTCTAGGTCAGCTAGGTAACTCAGTAAATAGAGTGCTGGGCCTGGAGTCAGGAATAGCTGAATTCAAATATGACTTCAGATACTTACTAGCTGTATGATCCTGGGCCAATCTCTTAACCCTATTTATCTCAGTTTCCTCATCTGTAAAATGAGCTGGAGAAATGACAAACCACTTCAATATCTTTGCCAAGAAAACCCCAAATGGACTCACTAAGAGTCAGACACAACTGAAATTTCTGCACTCTATTCCTTTTTCTCCACTTCCTTTCTCTCACCTCCTCTCTCCTCCTTTTTCTTTTCCGTCTTCCTACTCCCCTCCCCTCAACTCTAACCTACTCACTATCTCACTGTGAATCTATTTGTTCCTTTCTACTCACAACCATGCCTATTTCACCCTCATCTTAAAACAACAACAACAACAACAACAACAAAAAACGTCTTATTGGACCCAACCATGCCCACTGGTTGTGCTATTTTGTTCTATATCTCCCCTCCCCCTGAAGGATACACTTCTTGAGAAAGCTATCTACATTTTGATGCCTCCATTTTTTCTCCTTTTCTCCCTTTAGATTATAGACCATTTGCAATCTGGTTTCCAAAATTATCATTTAATTGAAAATGATCTTGCTATACAGTTATCAATAATTTCTTAATTGTCAATTGTCAAATCTAAAAGTGTCTTTATTTTTCACATGCATATATAATATGTATTTTTTATGTCTACAACTGAATCAGGAAAATATATATACATATATATATATATATCTATATCTATCATAATCATTCATAGTCCAACAAAACACATTATTACATTGGCCATACCCCAAAAGGTATGTCTCTTTTTTCAGTTTAAGTTGATCTTCTCTGTGCCAGGAGGGAAGTAGAATGATTCATCTTCACTTTTCCAAACTTGTGATTGATCAATACCTTAATCCAAGTTCTAAATTCTTTAAACATCTATAATGTTACCAACTTTGTATAAATTCTTCTTCTGGTTCCATTCATTCCATTGATCGTCTCCATGTTTTTTCATTTGCTTTCATACTGTAAGAAATAAGAGTTAAGTTTCCACATAAGTAGATAAGAAATCAGCACAGACTGGCTAACTCCTCTGTCCAGAGGGGAGTGACAACACATTTTTAGGCACAAAATGTATGTTAAGGGGTAGGGATCACATGTATATAAAATATATGAACAAGGAGTATAAGGAATATTGTAACCCAGAAGGATTAGGACCAATCCTAATCCCTAAGGGAAGAGTTAGGCAATTACTAACTATAAAACTTGCTCTTGCTTCTGTACTCAGCACACTCTCCTCTTCCAAAGAGGTGTGCCTGCTTCTTGTGAAAATCAAAAGGATGCACTTCAACCACTTTAATAAAAAGTCTTTGAGACACCAGTCCTTGGAACTGAGTCTAGCGTATTCTTTATAACAATACTTAAGATGGTCTGCCTACTTATCTTTCTACAAGTTTCCCTGGCTTCCTTCAAGATTAATCTCAAATTCATTTTCTGTAAGAAGCTTTTACCTCTACTCCCTCCCCCATCTACAACTAGTGCCTTCCTTCTGACATTATCTTCCACTTACATTGTATATATGTGTGTAAATATGTATGTATGTGTATGCATGTATACACACATGTTATTGCACACTGTCTTTACCAGTAAAAAATAAGTTCTTTGGAAAAGTGGATTGAGTTTTTATTTTTCTTTTATCTCCAAATTTAGCACATTTCCTGGCATGCAGTGATGAGATACTAATTGTAGATCCCTAAAAGGCCCTGGACTTTCCCACTTGGCTCAGATTCCTGGCATTTTCCTGAGACACCTGCCCCTTCCCAGTCAATAATCTTTTTAATTTCCCTTTCATTGTGGCCCTTATTGTCATCTGGCCTCACCCCAGGCTATTTAGCCACTCCTCAATTCCATCTAGACAACTTCTCTTTTACCCTCCAGTCACCTCAAGCTATTGGACACTTCTTGATCACATCCAAATATTTCCACTGTCTTTCTGTATATGTGTCCATTTTGACCTCATTAAATTGATAAGATAATTTAAGAGTCTGGCAGGCTTGTATTAGCATGGCAAATAGCTCAAATTCTTAAAATCTGGCCTGCTTGTATAAGCATCACACATGTGAAGGTTCTTAAAAGCCCCACCCACTTCTATTGACAAAGCAATAAACCTTGTCTCTGACTGAAAAAAGACTTGAATTGAATTCTTTTGAGGTAGACTTGTGCCTTTTGCCCTTGAATGTCGGGGTTCCCAGCATGCCTACATCACAACAGTAGTATATAATAAACATTTATTGATTGTTTACAACATAAATCTGCTTCCTAAATGCCCTCCGGAGAAGAAGGTCTAATAAGATGAGGATTGGAACTGAAAAACATCTTTAAAGATCTTAAAACTCTCCTTGGTGTCTATCAGAGTTTTGTTAGGTGTTTTTTTTTTTTGTTTTGTTTTTGTGTTTTTTTGTTTTTTTTTTCAATCTGACAGCAACAAAGATAGGCAGGTCCACAGATAAGATTCATGATAATCTTTATTCTTTTGAGGCACAGCTGATTAAAACATTTAGAAATTAAATTTCTAAGGACTATGTTAATGGCATTATTTAGTGTACGACTTGTGGTTCTTGATGACAGATGCATGAGTAACCAAATAAGTGAAGTTCATTGAAGTAGTTTCCCAATGAAGGGAGAACACACAAACACACACACACACACACACACACACACACACACACACACACACTCAATGACTTTATATTCCCCAAATGTCTTTCTAATAAGTAGCCTAGCACCAGTGTACTCATAGTAAACAGATTTAGTCCTGGGGTACTATTCAAATCAATCTCTTTGGATCATTTTGTACCCACCTAGGTCTCCTTAGGAAGATCAAAATAAAACTTAGGTCTCCATTTATGTGGGTCAAATGGACCCAGTTCCTATACAAACATTCAAGAAAATAGTAATTGGCATACTGTTTAAAGCAGTGCAAAGCCTTTTCCATGTGCTATTTCATTTATTCCTCACAACAACACTGTAAAGTGTTGAGGCTGAGTTTAAGTATCTTTACTGGGGTCAGACACTTAATAAGTGGCTGTGGGAGGATTCAAACATGTCTTTCTGTTGACAAGTCTGTGTGAGATGTGACCTAAAAAGAAACACTTAGAGGTGTCTCAAGGTAGGAACAGAAAGTTTATTTCAATCCTCAAGGATTGGGT